ATAAGGGTATGTTACTTAACCAATTTGTTCCAACTGTTTGATGAAATGCTTAAGAGAGAAACTGTATTTGCTAGTGTACATGTTTGTCTAACCTAAAAAAAAAGTAAAACTGTCTAATTCTGAATATTTTTACATACTTTGTTGTATAGCTTCTTTTTCAAAATTTGAAAAAGGGTTACATATTTTCAATTTTCACAGATGAAAAGATTATCTATTTACATATAACTAAACACTTTTTAAGCTTAGCCTAGTACGAAGCACTACTTCTCTCTTGTAGAAACGTTGTTTTCTTAACTTGGTGCAATCAAATTGTTGAATGAATTAATGGGTCTGTTTTGAGTATGAACTTTTAATAAGTCTGCGCTGGGTTCATGAATATTCTGATAATTGACTCAGCAGGACGTTTTGCGTTTCTGTTTCTTGCATACTTTGTTAAAAAAAATAAAATAATAAATAAATAAATAAATTTGGAGATACTATGAACACGTTGTATTCAATATTATATGACTCTCAAGTCTCATTAATTCTATTTGAGGGATTACATAAAGTTGATAATGGTGATTATGTTACTTCTAGTGGGATTACTCGAGGACAGCATTGCTATAATTGAGTTAGCATTTTATGATGGTGCCCCAATTATTGTTACTTTTCTTTGGAGTTTTTAGTTATATAACCTTGGTTTTAGAATTAATTATTTAGTAGTTTCCTAGGATAAGATTACTGATGGCATTGAGTGCTTGCAGTAGAAGCATATAGGAACATAGCTACTGAAAGTGAAATGTTGTTGTAATTTCTGATATGAAAATGGGTCAGGGTGTAGGCAATTGCATTTGAAAGAAAGGAAATGTTTGGGGATGTAAATTTTGTGTTGGAACTTCTTTTGTATATACATTTTTTTTTCATTTCCAATTTATCCAGCACTTTTTACCATCTAAATAAAGCAGAAATTCGAACAACCAATTTAATTGCTTTTTTTCTTTTTCATCATATAAGTGCAAGAGCACCTATTCATGTCAGCACTAGCATGGTGCTGCACTACAGCTGTAGTAACCAAGTCGATTGAAGTTGCTATAGGAAGTCAAAGACGATGCACTGAGATTTCTTTTCACAGAACTAATTTGCTTACAACCTCTTTCTCATTTAGCTGGAAACATTATATATTTTTATTTGCATTTTATTTACTAAGATTAATATATATGTTTTGCAGTTGGAAACAGGAAGATGGCAAAGCAAGCTCAATCTTTCTTTCTTGAAGAATGGTTGCGGAGCATCAATGGCAGCAGCAACAACAGTGCTTCAGTACCTTCTTCTTCCTCATCTGCTCGAGCCATCATCCAAGCTTGGGCTGATCTTAGAGACTCACTTCAAAATCACTCCTTCCACACACATCATCTCCAAGCTTTAAAGACCCTTGCTAATTCTCAAACCTCCCTTTTTGTTGCAGATCCACAAGCGAAACTTCTAGTTAGTATTCTATCTTCTCCGAACCTCTCTCTTCCACTGGAATCTTACCCATTATTTTTTAGGCTTCTGTATATCTGGGTTAGGAAATCATCTAGACTGACTGCTGCAGTTATTGATTCTGTTGTTGAGGTCCTCTTGCATATTTTCTCTAGGCAATTTGATTCTGACAAATGCCTTCTTATCTACTCAGAAGGAATTCTCCTTTTGGGATCCTTTTCTTTCCAACCGTCTGCATCTGAGAAATCAAAAAAGGTCTGCTTGGAGTTGCTCTCTAGGCTATTGGAAGAAGAATATAGTTCTATTTTATTGTCTGATGAACTAACTTCTTGTGTTCTTGCCGGGACTGGATATGCTCTATCTTCTTCCGTGACTGTTTATTTTGGAAAAATTGCAGATAATTTGTTTGGAATATGGGGCAAAGAAGATGGCCCCTCCCGTAGGTTGTCTCATGGGCTCATGATGCTGCATTTGTTTGAGTGGGTTCTGTCTAATTTCTTCAATTTGCAATCCTTGGAACAAATAGATCTTGTAAGAGAGATTTTGGAAAATGTTAAGCCAGCTCATGCTACATTTGCTGTAGTCATGGCTGCAGGGGGAGTACTAAGGGCTCTTAATGGATCTGGCTCAAGTGGTTTCATGGAGCTTAGGAATTCTGCTGAGAAACGAATTGAGATTATTGGAAGATACGTGGTTTCTAGAACTAAAGGCTTTGACTATTCTGTAAATGAACCTAGAAACAGCCTTCTCTTACAGAGCATAGCATTAGCTTTAGCTCGAAGTGGTTCAATTTCGTACCGGACTTCGCTGTTAGAGTGCCTTGCTTCGGCACTATTGACTGAAATATTCCCTTTGCATCACATCTATAATAAGGTCCTTAAATTACTCCCAGGAAGTTGGCAAGGGTATGTTCTTGATGAGGTAAAAGCACATCTAAACAGTGTCATTTTCAAGGAAGCAGGAGCCATAGCTGGTGTGTTTTGCAATCAGTATGTCTCAGCTAACGAAGAGAGCCAGGCAACAGTAGAGGACCTCGTATGGCATTTCTGTCAGGATGTCTACTTGTGGCACCGTCGGGTAGCATTGTTGCTTCAAGGCAGGGAGGATGAGCTTATCGGGGAGATAGAGAAAATTGCCGAGTCTGCCTTCCTTATGGTTGTGGTTTTTGCGTTGGCAGTCACAAAATGCAGGTTAGACTCTAGAACCAATCAAGGAACTAAATCACAAATTTCAGTAAGAATCTTGGTGTCATTTTCTTGTATAGAGTATTTCCGCCGGATGCGTTTGCCTGAGTATATGGATACAATTAGAGCAGTCGTTGTAAGCGTTCAGGATAATGAATCTGCATGTGTCTCATTTGTAGAATCAATACCTGCGTATGATGATTTGACCAATAAACATGGTATTGACTTGATCTTTGTGCATTTCTTAATTGTCAGTTGTATGCAGTCCTCTCACCTAATTCAGCACTTGCCTTGCAGGTTGGTCCAACTTGCCAAAAGTGGCATATCTGTGGTCCACTGATGAGGTGCAGACTGCTCGAATCTTATTTTACATGCGTGTTATTTCAACTTGTGTTGAACAACTACCAGCCTCTGTATTTAGGAAGATGGTGGCTCCCACTATGTTCCTGTATCCTAAATTGAAATTTATCAACAACAAAACAACTTAAATTGATTAATGTTGATAGTTTTCTGTTCCTTAATATGTATATAATTAGATACATGGGACACCCGAATGGAAAAGTTGCGAGATACTCACATTCGATGTTTGTGGCTTTCGTGTCTTCTGGGAAAGATACTAATCAGGATGAAAGAGTTCAGCTTAAGGAGCAACTGGTTTTTTATTACATACAAAGATCTCTAGAGGTATCTGAATTCTTGCAATATTCCGCGTATCAAATTTGAATTTGGTCAATGACTGAGAAGTTCTGTTTGGTCTACTAAATTGGATATACAGGGATATCCAGGGAGTACCCCATTTGAGGGGGTGACTTCTGGTGTTGCTGCACTTGTTAGGCATCTTCCTGCTGGAAGTCCATCTATATTTTATTGCATTCACTGTCTAGCTGAAAAAGCTAGTAGCCTTTGCAGCTTTGTCAGCACTCGTGAAACTGATCTGTGGAAGAACTGGGACGGAGAGTTGGAACCTGCAAAGAAAGTGCTTGATTTGCTTTTGCGGCTCCTTTCCCTAGTTGATATACAGGTATAAATATATGAATTTTTTTGTCTTTTGACTGGAGGGGGACTGCAGAATGGTTGGTGATAGGAGGGAAGAGCTGTAATCTTTCACCAGCGTACATCCCTGAGGATAAATAAAAAGGGCCTCCTGGTGTTTGTTTATGTGCTCATGACTTCCTGTTTTTTCGTGTTTGCCCTGTTATAATATTATTTGGTTTCATAGATTAGATGCAGTATAGATGGCCCATTTGTAGAGGTGTCAAAGCATGCAGGTCAGCCATGCACAGCATAGCTTACCCCATGTGCACCAATATTTATAGGGAAAAAAATAAAAAATAAAAGAGAGAACTTGTACCAAATAAGGTAAAAGTCCATGGCATGGGAAAATACCCCGCATGCCAAAATAAAAGGGCCGTGCCGGTTGACACCTCTAAAAGTAGTGTCGGGAGCATTTTACTCATTTAGGCTGATGTTAAAAGGTGTTAAAATTAAGAGTGTTTTTTGCAGGTTCTACCAAGTTTGATGAAGTTATTGGCTCAGGAGATTGTCCAATTACCTGCTGATGGACAGAACACAATTCTTAACCAGTTATATGAGCATGTTGCAGAATCCGATGATGTTACTAGGAAACCAACACTTGTTTCCTGGCTGCAGTCTCTGTCTTACCTTTGTGCTCAAGGTACTCGTAAAAAATCATCTGCATTTGTAGGAGAAGCATTATCACGCCTATAATGCATCAAGATGCAATTTTTAACTATATACTCTCATTATGATGCATTTTGTTAGAAGTTTATCAAACCATTTGTTACTCATAATTTTTGAAATAAGTCAACAATGCAATAAAACTTCGGAAGTATACTAGTTGCCACGCATCTGTATTGGTTATACATTAGTGCTAATTATGTTAATAGAGGAAAGTTTTTGTTATTACTAGTAAAGTTCATTTCTTTTTTCTAGATCTGTTGGTTTTTTCCAATTTTTATATTTCTGCTTGAACTGCCTCCTCACCCCACCCCACCCCACCCCACCTCCACACACACACACATACAAAAACAACAAGTAAGAAAGATTAAAGGATGTGTAATTAGAAATTTGGTTAGAAAAATTGAATTTAGGTGAGGTGATGTGTTAAAGATAAATACAAAGAACTAGTTTATTCTCTCTTTCAAACTTTTTAACTGTTGAAGGAGTCGATTCAACATTCTTTATATTGATAAAACATACCATTAGCAAAATAGAATAAGAATATGCAAGGATAAATGAAAAATAATGAAAACAAGCAAAAATATGCAGAACATTCTCCCTCCAATACACTAGAATCTTAATCAGATTCTGAAGCATGATAACATTCAAATTTCATCAACTTGCAATTGTTACTGGTATTGCAAAAAGTGGTTCAGCTTTCTGAAGTGTTATCCCAAATTTGTCCTTCATGTCCATGTCCTTTGGCTCCACCCCATTTGCCAATTTCCACTCAAATTTATGAACAAGATTAGCCAATATTAAGCTCACCATTCTCACCCCAAGATTCAGTCCGGGGCAAATTCGTCTTCCAGCACTAAATGGTATAAATGAAAAGTCTTTGCCTCTGAAATCAATATCTGAATTCAAGAATCTTTCTGGCTTAAATTTTGTTGGCTCATCCCTGTAAGTTGTGTCCCTTGAAATGGACCATGTATTCACAAGAATTTGGGTGTGTTTTGGGATGGTGTATCCACAGATTTGTACATCTGTCTCGGCCCGATGAGGCAGGAGGAGGGGCGCAGTAGGATGAAGCCTCATTGTTTCTTTTATTACTGCTTCTAAATAGGGAAGCTGCGAAAGATCTTGTTCTTTAACATCTTTTGAACTGAGTTCTACGGATAGTTCTTGTTTTACCTTTGCCAGTATGGGTGGGTTGTGGAGGAGCTCCGCCATAGCCCACTCCATGGTGGTGGTCGTCGTATCCGTACCTCCAATGAACAAATCCTAGCATTATATACAGGGACGTGTTATGGAGTATGACGGGAGAAATGTGTCGGGTGTCACAGTTTACAAAATTATTGACATGGTTTCGAGTCTCTTCTGCAAGGTAAGCGTGAGAACCAAAAAAAAAGGAAAAGAAATGGTACGTGTTAAAAGGATAAATTCGTCCCTTCTCCCTAAATGAAATGGTTCAACAAGTAAGAAGCAGTGACTACTTGGGTCAATAGACGCTGTCAAAATGGTTTCTATCAGGAAATTCTTGGGGATATCTTAGGTTGCGTTTGATTGCAAGGGTAGAAAATAGATGGAAAGAAAATAATTTGCAGGGAAAATAATTGCCTAGAAAATATTTTGCAGGGAAAATGATTTCAAGTGTGTTTGATTGGTATAATTTTCCACCCTGAAAAATTTTTAAATTTTCTATTCGTTTGGTTTTGTTTTACGTGGAAAGTGTCTATTAAAATGATAATTTTTTCCATAATTGATTATAAAATTTGTTTCCATTGCAAAAAAGTTAAAAAAAAAAAGG